ACAACCCTCTAATTAACAGCCCAAGACAACTCGAGTAGAGTGGAGAAGAGGCGAGAGCGGACACGACTGGTTTGTTGATGTCAAAACAACCAAGTGGCTTTGTGTGCGTATGAGTACGCGTGCGTAACAGGCTGATGCTGAGAAAAATCAATAACAAAAGGGGATGAGTCATCGCTACATACGGGCCTTCATGCACGCACACTCGCCCGGGGCGGCTGTCAGTCCACTACAAATATTCCCCCCTGAGAGCGTTAGCTGTAAAACAGTAAACGCTCGAAAATTATCGAATGGAATCAGCAAAGCGAACAACAGGTCTTAAGGGTCGGCCAAAACGGGATGTTGGGCAGGGTGGGGATACGGGAGATTGTAGGGGAAGTTCGTCGTTGCTTGAGCATGTGGAAGGAACATTGATGTCTTCCGTATAGGCAGATTTGAGACGGTCTACGCTCACAGTATCACGCGAGCCATTTTTTTCAATTACGAAATATTTTTCGGCGCGTTCTACCACCTTAAAGGAGCCATCATATGGTGATTGCAAGGGTTTTTAACACCATCAACGCGGACAAATACATAAGGAGAAGCAATCAAACTTTGATGGATTCGTGCTTGTCGTGAGGACATCCTTGTCGGAGTTGGTTGAATTTCCTTTATGTAGTGCTTTAATTAATCGACATAATATGAAGATGGGAACTCAGTAGTGTTGTCAGGGTTGGTGACCATTTCACCAGGCAGACGAAAAGTTGTACCGAATACAAGCTCTGCTGGTGTGGAGTCCACTACACTTTGAAACCAAGCAAGTGCCACTGATATCCGCATGGTTTTAGTTTATGACCAATAAATCCAGACAAATGGAAATCTTATATCTAAACTGACAGGTTTGATGAAGATTTTTGAGCTGAAACCCTTGCCAACCTGATAGTGCGGATATCCACTCGGTTCAAACATGAACGAGGTACTAGAGAGCCGATTTACTTGGACATCAGTGCCATTTCATGTTTTAACTATCAGAATAGAGGGGAGGCAGCAATTGGGCTTAAACTGCATATTCCGTGGAAGCCTCATAATCCAGTGTGTGTACTTGAGTTGCAATGATTGAATCGGTACATTCATTGGCAGCATGTTTGTTTGTTCTCAAACAATAAAGTGTTTACCAAATGGCCATTTCATTTGCGCACTTGTGCAATTGTGCAATTAGCACAATTTTTACACCTTGGTCGAGTGGGCGGCAAACATGTTGCTAGAGTGAATAATATTTGGTTCTTAAATTTCTAAATTCTTCTTGTTTTCTTGCTGTTCTAGTCTGCTACTATGCTCAATAAATCAACGATCATTGCAAGGCAGAACCCTGAAAACAACGTGATGAACGTCGTCGTCAACCAATCATCAGTGGCGCATAGTTACTTGCCTAACCGGTGACCTAGGGCTTTGCACTTTACACTGGCGCCTTCACTGCCAACTCATCTACTTCCGTCAACTCAAGTGATGGTGGGACACTAAATCTAGACCTGATCAACCCTCATTGAAGCCTGTGATCTTGACGCATTGCAGTCCTACAGCCATGAATGTCGATCAATCTTATCGGACAGGCATTCGCCGCCCCACTGGCCTCGCTGTCACGGTGTCTAACGATCACGCGAAAGCCTCTCCTCATGCAGCCCTGTTTGTGTACCTTCCGCAAACTACCCCTTTCATTCATCCAAGCATTTAATCATTTGCACTTTTACGGGTTCATCTAGACTGCATTGTTCAATGTCCCCGTTTTCAGAAACAAAGTCTTTTGCGTGTTGTCAACTTACTATTTCACAACTGCGTTCACCTGCATAGTAAGCGGCTTTGTCTTTGTCTTCCTGAGATTCGTGGGTATCAGTGCAGAGTGATTAAACCACTTTGGCGCATCAGAGACCCTACTTAAGTCCAGAACACAAATCGCTGCCCTCAAACAGCCCAGACGAGTCCTTGGACAGTTAACCAGATTTATTTTTGTCTGATCCATCTGAGCTGAACAATAATGTCATAATTCTTGAACAGTGCTTTTTCCTTTGACATTCAACTCAACACGTGAGAAGTGGAACAGAGATCGGTTACTAAAATGAGGGTTAGTTCTGACGAAACTGTATTGCTCGCAAGCATTATGAAGCAATGCAAAAAGGCGTCACCGAAAATTGTCCACAATGTAGTCGATGTTGGGTGTCGATTGGGATATCACCCGCAGTTTATGTGCCTGGTTACTGGAACCGCCAATGTGATTTAGGCTAATTTGTGGGATGTCTGTCGGCTAAGAAAATGGTGCAATTATTTAATGTAGCAATATGGTTGCAATATAATGATGAATAAAATGCTCAACACTGCGCGGTTCCTTTGGAGCTATTCGCACGTTCTTGTGTCATGAATGGCGTTGATTCACATTTGCTAATGTGGCCAATCCAGCCTCTGACACAAGGTCCCCCTTTTTCCCCGCACCTAGGTCGCGGTGTTAGCCCATCTCTGACTCACACATCTGGGCTATAAATGTACCCACAGCTTAACGACACCAACGTGGTTAAACTGAAGTAAACGGTTGTGTCCACATCCTCTCCTGTCTTTTACTTAATTGCTGGAAGCGGGAAAGTGTAATCGGGCCAGGGCTAAGTAAGTGGCTCCGGCGTGGCACAGAACCAAATTCTGGAGGCCACAACACTTGCATACCGTTCTCAGACTGTTTGACGTGGTCGCGCTCACCGTCTGCAGTGACGCGTTGGATGTTATACCAGGAAGGAAATGAGGAAAGGGTTGATTCGTTCATTAAATGATGATGCCAGTTTATATCGACAGACGAATTTCAGCAATTGGTACTTGAAGTGTTGCTTGTGAATGTGTATGGAACATTTCAGTGCAGGGTTTCGACGATATAATATGACCGCTTTGAGCAGGTTAGTGATATCAGTGCTGACTCGCATAACACACATCCATTGTTATTCACTAATCGACGATAGTCTGGAACCCAAAGCCAAGTCGTGATGTTTCAACCAAGACCATGCTATTTGCGAACTTGCTTTCGTGCAAAAGAAATAATACACGTTTACACGCTCAGCAAATCTCCGACTCGTTAATTGACGTGATCTCAATTAACACAGCAAAACCGAGCCTACAAGTGCGAAGCGAAAGTCAATGTGACAGTCAGCCTCTTCCAAGTACAAATGCAGTGCATGAAAGTACTTTCTCAAACCTGAGAACAGTTTCACTTTGAGGTGACTACGTATCTGTCCAACGCATAGACGTAATGGGACGGCACTTGGTAAGGTAAGAGACGGTGTTTGACGTTTTGTGTCATGCTAGGACCTGTTCCTCATTGAGCATTGCACTGGACGCTAATAGCCCCTTATGCACAGCGGTATCGTCTGCAGAATTTGTTGAATTGCGGAACTTGGGACGTTTGATTCAACAGCATTCGCGATGATTTGGCATCAAAAACAGCTTTAAATCTTACTTGCTGATAACAACTTGCGACTAGTCATGAGTCAAGTACGCTGTAGTTGGATTATCTCATAGTGAGCCTATTATTGATGGTGTGGTTTCTAGGAGGACGCATGTGAAAAATTGAGCTAACTTCCCAATCAACCACGCAGAGTTCACGCCGTCATTCAACCTAAAGTAAATCGCGGTGCTGTCAATGCAGTGTGTTTGGATATCCTGTGAAACATCACATAATTTGACTTTTTCTGTTGCAGCCCTGTTTCTTGTTACTATCCGCCACACTGTTCATTTGCTTGCATACGGGGTCCCACTTTTACTTGACTAACGCCCATAATTGCGGTTACACGTTTGTGTATACCTTGTCACATCATTGCCTTAACCTGCGTTTGGCTTGCGTCTCTGGCATTAGAAATGTCCGAATTGGAGGCATGTAAAGCAGCATGGTAATATTATGTTAGAGATAAAAACTATCATGGACACCGGTAAATTCAGCCTTCTGCAGGGTGACTGTGATTAGGGAACAGAAGAATTATCGCGAAACATAAACAGACTACGGTGTGTTAATTCAACCCAGGATGAGAAAGAAGCCTAGCCCTATAGATTACGAATCGGTTAGTTTAAGCGATTTGGGGAGTGCCCACATTACAAAGATAGTGTGTTTTGTGTTTGTTACCTTACCGCAATTAACGTGTAGAAAAATTCACGTGAAATAAGATTGACCTCGTGGTGAGTTAATGTCTTTTGCATTCCACCACGATGTTCCTTTGATAGCTCAAAGCTACGAAAGAGCTGGCTCGAAAACACAAAGAACTGGACTAGCACGTCGACTGTAATATTTCGTGATGAACTTGCAGATAATATGCCTTTGTCAAAAGCAGATTAAAATAGTGTGGAAGCATTGTGGCCACTGCCTTCACATTAATGCAATAGGGCACTTAACCCAACGATTTTTTATGAAAAATAACATGAACTCTGCGGCATCTAATTTGATGCACTTTTTTGAACAACACACAGTGATCTGAGAATCTTTAACTCTGGGCCATTTAGCGTCACGCAAAAGTGTACATCATCGAAATCTGCTGGCAAACTCGAACACGGTAGCGCCAGTGTTGCAAACGTCCGTACAAGTATGCAAATAATCATTTTAGTAGATATGGGTTATGATCGGCACGTCATACTTGTGTTCCACCCCAATTCGTTTTGCATAGTGCTTCATGTTTTGGAAACATAAACACTTCCAAGCCCCTAATTGCGGGGCGTACAAGCATACTGATATATTGGAGCATATTTGGTAACTTGCATCGATAAAATACACAAACTGCCTTTTTTCTTATTACTGGTGCCTTTCTGAGAATTAAAAGCGTCAATTGACACCAGAATTGGTGTGAGTGACGCCAACGTGACACGAGTGATGGCGTGCTCAGTGGGTGTCACAGCTCACTGTATACAAATGTTACAATCTGAAGCAATTCAAACAAGCATGTTGCCTGTTAGTGCACCAATCACCGAGCACGTTGGGCTCAGTCAGGTAGTATAAAAAGGCAGGGATGCAAAGCGAACGGTCATACAACGGCTCGAGCATGGTTGGAGTTCTCGTCATCCTCGCAACTTACATCGCCTGCTTCACAGAAGGTAGGTTGACACGCTTCACTGGGTTACAGAATTTTGTCCGATTACAGTGGGTACAACCGAATAGAAATTAGTGACATGTATTTGATCGCAAGTGCCTCTGTTCCATTAAGCCTCTTTTTGGTATCGTAAGCCGAGTGGTTGAGTGGACATGCTCGTTCTCCAGGTTTCACAACTCCCTAGGTCATCGCACAATGTTGAACGTCACAACCGTGGCAGACAATATTTGCCTACCCTTTCATAGTGAATTAATACTGCCTACATTTGCCCACGAATTTTAACACAACGACGACAACTTGTTAGGCTCCGAAATAAACATTTGTGTCCACGTCCTGTGCGGTCATTTTCTTTGCGGCGGGTACCAGGGAAGCGTGATCGGGCCAGATCCAATTCAGTGACCCCGGCGTGGTTCAAGACCGCATGCTGTGGTCCACAACACGTCCATTATTTGCTACTTAATAAGTCACTTTAAAAATACCCGTGATGTCTCTGTGTGCATCAACATCCGAAGCTGGCGACAGCATCGACCAACAAACACTAACTGCCGCGTTTCTATCCTTGCAGTTGGTGTGAATGGCAATTTAGTCATCGACACACCAAGTGGATGCGTCGACGTCACTGTTAACATTCCCTACGAATTCAAGGTACGTTCTCTTGACATGCACGGTTCACTGTCACCTCGTACACTCAGCGCCATTTCAAGCCTTTTTGGCACGAGTTTGTGGAGGTTGCATTTGCGTTCAGTTGACACCATCAGCGCATTATGAAACACGTTTTTCAGAAAGTGTTGCCGAGATGTGTGTGTGTGTGCGTGTGCGCGTGTGTGACGGTGATTTCTTCCACTCTGCTTTTAAGGCCATCCGCGTTGATCAAACCGACTACGACTTTAAGGACGGCGAGTGTGTCAACAGACAAGATCCCTTGGATGTAATTGAATGCTCACTAATTGAAAGTGAGTTTGATTTCATTCTGCTCTCGATCGCTTTCCACACTTCCCTCAACATTCTTACAATTCTCTACTAAGTATGACTGACAGGTTGACGCTTCATGGTGTGAATATCAAAATGCCCACGCGACGGCAGCTAATGTCGGCACAGCTAAGAAATGCCTCACGACATGCTTGACTTGGTTCAAATCACGTCTTCTTCACACTATGGCTGCATCCTGATCAAATGCAATTTTTGAGTGCCTACAAAATCTCGTTTGACTAGTTGCGAGCCACGCCGCGTTTTTGAGCCTCCTTGCCAATAGGGCAGGGGCATGAATACGTGGACTTGCAAATTATGTCATATGACGTGAGGCATTGTGCCAGGCTGGTGAGCAGGATCGTGCAGCATTGCAAAGCATGGTAGTCAGTGAAACGAAGTGGCTTCGTGTTCAGACACACTGGCTAGCTACTGCATGGATGCAGGCATGAATGTGCGCGAGCGAAACACGCGTCGGAAAGGAGCCAACACGCAAGATGGCGTAGATGTTGCCAACTTTTAACAAGCACCCCGCACTCCTTCCAATCCGCTTGTGTTTCCTCTTCCAAGACTGTCTTGGTGGCTTCATCGGCAAAGCGCGGGTGTGCAACGTCGAGAGGAAGACATGGACTGGATTCTACGTCAGCAACCTACTTGGTGGAAGTCGCTTCGCATATGTCTCCGTCTACTTCTCCCACAATGGCACGTGGACCGGTATTGACAAAAGTAAGTGCAGCATCGTAGATGCATGGCGTAAGCGTGATCAACAGCATTAGCAAACGGGCTGTTTGGAATATCATGCTACCCACGTTGGCATCGTGCTTGCCATGTTGAGCCCATTCACACTTGCCAATCAGCAGCCAGCCACACGCGTTTGCATGACGAGCATTAGGTGACAGAGGGCAGCAGACTAACTGGGCTGCACCCATCACATCTGGAGGTGGAGGCAGACTGACACTAGCCTAACGGTGGTGTCGCAGCGTGCATAAAACGCCATCACTTGTGATTAACGCTATCGACGTTGTTTTGCAGACTGCATTCAGCCACAACTGTCTGGCCCGACGGTGTTCAAGGCGGGTGGACTGAACGAGGTGGAAATCGTTTGTGCTCGTAAGATGGACTGTCCAATGGGACCATTCGTAGGTTCTTCTCTATGCATGTTAGATTGTTTGATCAAAGCACCAGATTAGTAATCACCATGTGGCAGCCACAATCTACTCACGACGCTGTACTGATTTCCATTCGCTCACGTTGCATGAAGTGGTCTTTCTTCCACCTTACTGATGCTCATTTTCACACTTTCACACTCTAAACCACTGTGGCATTCTTCGCAGCGTGATTACTCATTGTGCGTGAGCACACTTAGTTGTTCACACTCACGACAATCTGGACTGCGTTACACTGCATGCAGCAAGTGCCAGTAATGTAGGAGGTGAGCGAGAAGGGTTCTGCCGATGTTTGCAAGTCAATGCCTTGACTTGCTGCGATGTTTGGTGTGCCATGTGTACAGCCATCATGCCCCAGTTTCACATGGCTGTTATCGACAATTTACGGCATTTTTACCCGTCTTCAACGCACTGCTTTGCAGACCACAATCATGACCAAGGACCAATCGATTTGCTCGGATTACGGAGCGCCCTTATGCGGTGAGTCAAACATCCACATACTAAGCATCAGCACTAAGGACGTGCTTTGTTACCTGCTCTTGACTTTATATTTTACTGCTGCTGCTGCTACTGCTCCTGATGAAGACGATGTTTTAACCCTTTCCCCTAACTAACGCTACACGAATTTGCCCATGTAAAAGTCTGCAAATCTGCATAGAACAAATTCATTTGAATTGTGAGGCAAACGAAGCGTGAAGTTGAAAACCCGAAGTAATGACAACGCCTCTGGCGAAGCTGATCACGGCGAGTTTGCTGAATGTTGCAGATGCAGCACCTCAGCCATGAGATGTCCAAATGAGCGGTGAACCCAGTTACGTTGTTAATGCTTGCAGCATAATTGCAAAGGTCTTTAGGCGCACTTGGCAGATTAGTCGGAATTCACTTGGAAGTGCGTTGAGCCCTCGTCAATGACCCTCGGTGGCACATTGACGGTTGGGATGTTCATGCAGCACATTGAGCCAAATGCACTTTCGCCTAGAAATAACCGAGAACGACGACATCAAATACCTGAGGGCAGTCATCCCGAGGCCCGATGATGGCGACCGAACCTTCGCGTTCTGCTCGACAGGAGACACCTTCCTGTCCTATGATATCGACTGGGGTACCTCAGGTAGGTGACCAAATTCGTCCTGCAATCAAGTCATCTGCCAACACGTTTGCTAATGCAAATTACACTCAGATGGCATTTGTGTGGACCACGGTTTTGACGATGCTGCTGACGGTGTAGGTGCAAGCTAGGTCCCATTCAACCTGGTCATGTGGTAGTGAAGGCAAATAAGTCAGTGTGAGTGCGCCCATGGAAGCGACGATATTTGACAGCCAACTGGCCAGATGACTGCGAGGTTGCAAGACACCAACATAACGCTACCATATTTGACTTCGTATGCGCGAATTGCAATCAGTTATCCTATGCCATGACGCTCTTCATTGTGGCTTCCTCTTTTCAGCCTAGAACACGAGAACGCGGCCAACCGGAACGCGGTGTCTAATCAAGTGTTCAACAGTAGTTTAGTCTAATAAATCGATCTGATTCCTTGCCATTTCAAATGGGTGTTTTGGTTGTGCTTGCAACCGAGTGCGGCGGAAGCGAGAACAAGGCAGGCGATGAAATGCCGACACGGTGTAAACACGACTTAAGACATATTTGTCCTCATAAAATGCACCTGGAAACCATTATTGTGTTGGTTGTCAAGATCCCAAGAAACCCATTTTAAATATATTTGCACCTCTATTAAATGTGTAGTGGCTAGGAATTTAGCACTACGTTACAATCCTCTAATTAACAGCGCGTAACTACCCAAGGAAAGAGGGAAAAGCTGAGACAAAGAACACGATCGTTTATTAGCGTCAAAACCGGCAAGTGGGTTTGTTAGGAATGAGTACGCGTGCGTGACAGGCGAATGACGACAGAGGCCAATAACAAGAGAGGTGAGTCATTTGTCCACTCGGACAATCATGCGCGCATCACTCACGCAAGGTGGCTGTCAGTTAACTACAGATGTAAACTCTCCAGTTTGTCGATAAGGTCATTGCTAGCAATGTCTGGACAGTTCTGGCATGGTATTCTGCCTGCCTGGCCACCTGCATGCGAATAATCTGCTTATATTAATACTGTGCTCCACTTTACCCAACGAAAGTCAATGGTTGTCACTGCGTCCAATGGCACGTAAATCCAGCAAATTCGAGTAATTGCTTTCTTTATAAAAAGAGGATTTTCGTTGGAATTAACTGTGCACTGAGGCGTTCACACGCAACTGTCGCATTGTATTTGTACTTCACTTATACGCCGAACTCAGTAACTGCAAATACTCTGAAGTGTTCAAACAACGTGATCGTTGAAACAACGTCCATGGGAAGTATGATGGTGCAATTACTTTCGAGTGCTGCACTTTGCTAATTCAATAAGCACTGCTTGATTTTAAAGAGGCCTTGCAACCTACACGGGTGCTCATTCAATAGATCCATTAAGCCTCAGTTCGAAGCAACGTTAATGGAGACACATCTGGCAGTGAACTCGTTCTGCGGACACGAGGGTCGTGTCATGTCAACTGCAAACTGTTTCACGCATCTCTTGAGGTTTAGGCGTCAACGTACGAATCTGTCTGCTGTGTTTCATGAGAATCACAGGCTGTAAGCAACGCTGCCTTCCTACTTCGTGGTTCCACAAACCACATTATTTTCCACCATGCGTGTTTGCACTAAGGAATAATTCAAACATATCCATTTGAGCAAGGTTAAATGTGGAGGGAAGTGGGATCGCTTGCAATTGCATTTACTCAACAACACGAACTGGTACAAACGGTGTCGTTAATTCATGCTTGACATATTCGGTGTTACATGGAGGGCTCAGTTATTCTAACGTGCAGCTCATCAGGATGAATGCCTGCCTGCCTGAAGTGGAGCTAAGAAGGAAAAAATAACCTGTGCCGTGTATTTTGCCACAGGGGCTATTGAGGCAACGCGAACAGCTCCATCATCAAATTAGCTTTCGAAATGCATGCAAGCACAACGAACACGTCTACACTTAAAACAACTACTGTAGTGCCGGTATTAGAACCAATAAACTTCCTGCAGCCTGCACACACGCTCGTTCGTATTTTTGGCAGTTTGACTTTGATTGGGTTGAAAATATATGTGCAGTTATGCCACCTTTTTGCAGTGGCCAGCAGGCAATATTGTGTGGACATCCAGGCCCGATTATGTGGATTTGCGAAATCCTCTCTAGCAAGTGAAATCCAGTGAAACATGCATGTCAGTAGCACGCAAGTACTAAAACCAGGCACAACCATGTCTCAGTCAGTAAACTCTTCAGCATTCGATCTGCGGCCTCTCGAATGCATCCGAGCGCTTACAGCAAATATGAGGTTCACTTTCATGATTAAGCTGGATCGACGTTAGAGAGGTCGGTGCTGGCAGAGACTTAGGCATGCAGCTGAAACGAGTCGAAATATTTGTGTGAACGGATATCACGACGTCTCGTTGGTTCTTTGGATAAAATGACAGCGGATTAAAGCACACAATTCAATGTGGGTGACTAAGCTTGAAGATGATAATCGGTGCTGTTTCTAACCGATCGATGAAAAATCGGCAACCAGGCAAGTTCAGGAAGGCAGCACGAGCACACGAGATGTGTCCTGCCTTGTGCAAAATGTTCTAAGCGCGCTAGGTGATCAGGAGGTGTCAGCGGTATAAACCTGACAGCATTTGCTATGTTCCAAATATCTCCGTGATGCAGATGGTTGGTGATGTAATTAGCATTTTGTGTTACTTTCAAAAAGAGCACATATTTAATAACTCTAAGAGAAAAGGTTTGTGATCTGATGGGGATTCAGCAGTCCCCATAACGGATCATCTTGTGTTAGGATTTTGTCATTGTGTACACAGTTGCCAAACCAAGTCGTTTCAGTGGATAAGTCACCCACGGCGCCCAACTGATAGCCCTAATTGTTTTAATCCGCCATGATCCATCAAACCAAGATCATATTGACTAATGTGCAAGTGTGCACATTCACACCGATCACTCAGCCTTTGGCTGAAACCTTGAAGACGCGGTGTGCGAGGTCTTGCTCTGTCTATGACTAACGGTTGACTACACGTCACGAAATATCCAAGCCAAATCACGTAGCTTATCTACGAACAGGATAACAGGAAAGCTGAGAGAAGTCAGTGTATTTATCTGATCAAATCTAGGCACCACAAAGTCGATGTGGAACCTCCTCTTCCTTGTCAAATCGAGTTAGCTGCGCTTCCACGCTTTCTCACAAGCCACTCTTGTGTTGAATCGGTCCACGTTGCTCCCACGGCCACTGCTTGAGAGACGAATGCATCGGCCCTTGGCTGCATCATAGCGCCATGTCGGATTGTATGCCATACATATCCCACGCTTATTGGCCAGCTGGCTGGGATAGATACCAGCTTAACTAGTCAAAGAGAGAGAGAGTGAGGAAGGGAAAGAGAAAAAGAAGAAAGTTGCATACTTTCACACCGACTACAGTCATGTAGCAACGTCGATGTAGTCTTCTCTGATTAACTCTGAACATTACGCCTAAGAGAAAGCTACTTACATGAACAGTGCGTAAAGTTTTCAGGTCAGTGTACGTTGAGTGATACCACACCAAATTTGGATTAGTGCTACATCCGTTGCATAATATCTCAAGAAAAGTTGTGCATCCCAACAGGAACGTAGTTTAGTAGAGCTAAAAATACTGACGCGGGATTTGCCTAATTGGGCAGCTTAGAATATCGATTCGCGCAGCACGAATCGTTGGATGAAAAAGGAAAGTTATGAAAAGAAGCACTGATTTCAGACAGTTGAGAGCACTTTAGTTGTCGGTGCTAAATCAGAGACTCGTGCTTAGGAGTAGTTATTGACATGCCCGTCAAACTACCTGGTTCCATTTGGCTAACTGCCACTATAACGCCCTCTTAGATCGCTTTTGTTACGCTGGTTAGCTACATAGCAAAGTAGCCATTAATGAGGCATGTGAATTCAAGTTACGTGATTTCATGCAGCAGCTGTCAAAGACAATTGGTCAATAATGATAGAACCTTTGTATTTTATCTCACGACAGGATGCTCAGCCTCTTTTGAATCCGTTCTAGTCCAGCAGTATGACTTTAATTGGCTTATGAGTGTGGAGTGATGCACAACATACTGACCATTTAAATTAAATTAGCTTACCTTCTGTGACGCTGGCAAGGCAAATTGCGACCAAGGCGAGAACGCCGATCATGCTTGTAGTATTGCTTACCAGGTTGCTCTGCTTCCTTCCATTTTATACACCTTTACCACCACACGTCGTTGTGTTCATTGGTGCGAGCCAAGGTCAAGAACCTATGTGGTGTCTTTTCCTTGCAACGCTTCGACTGATTCAAGAATACCTTTATCATGTCTGAAATTTTGGCGTGATCACATGGATGACATTAACTACCGAGAGTTTCAAATATATTGTAGTGCTAAAATATTTTGATTGCTAAGTGCTAAAAGAGTAGATAACCCCGTGGATCAAGACTTGTGTACCTGCAGCATTTGCCAACATTGGGTCATGCCAATTTCATCAGACAGGAGGTGTGTTTGTTTGACATTACAAAGGAGTGTTTAGTTGTTGCCTAGTAAATAAGTTAGCTCAATGCTGATAAATTCGAAGGACCGAGGCTGACAGCAACGAGAATTGACGAAAGCACAACCAGCCACCTCGTCTTCAGCAATCAGTCAGTGTGTGCAGAATACGTCGGATGACATTGAACGACGCAGATCTACATCTCCCATAAATGACTAGGTGACTTAATGAAAGTTTACGATTTCCTTGATGGGTTTGTAGCATAATCGTGCTAATTCTCGTCTAATAAGTCGGTTGTCACTGGTCCAGGTACACGTCCTGGGCACCAAAATATCGTCAACACAATCATCATAGTGTTTCGGCTAGCCTGAATTCGATAAATTGGAGGAGATAATGCTTTTGCAGACGGAATTTACATTTCCTTTACAGGTGCCGCAACTCAATTCTGAAAAATCGTGCAGCCTTGGTTGATGACACAGAGATTACCTACTTAAAACACGCTTTTGCAGCACGCATAATCCGAAGAAGATTGCGATACACGTTGTACGTTCAACTAAAACATTACATCCAATCACTCCAGGTGGTTGGGTTAATTTTGTCTCGACAGATGCTTTGGGTGTGAACATGAATCAAGTACTGTTCAACGCATATGTAATAAAATGTTCCGTTAACGGTTGGGTTAATATTAGTAATGCGAAGCTTGTCAAATTGCTCGTGAACAACGCGTGACCAATCGTAGCTGCCTGGAGCTTGATACCTTCAAATAAGACTGGATACATTGTACGTCAACCACTTCCTGCGCAAATTGAGTTCTGCACTTCTCTTTTACGTGAAGATTTTACCATGCAGACGGAAATGCATTCGGCTCTTATGCCACATTAACTGCCAATATTGACTTCTGTTGCTTTTGTTGGCTAATTACTCATTCTG